ACGTCCCAGTCCCAGCCTTCAACCTAGAACGTAGGTTAAATTGATCGATACACAGCTGTTTACAGGGACGTCACTTATTGACGCAATGCCTGTATTCAGTTTTGTAATTAGGATAACTCAATGGCTACCACTTCCATGTGATGTTTTTCAGCAGTGTATGGGTTCCCGGCAATCATGGTCAGCTGACCGGGGAGTGGGCGCTTGAGCTAGTTCGTTGACGATTAGAGGTATCTTCTTCTGTTATCGGTTGGCCATAGAGTTATCTGATGACACCCTGCCATACCAGACCGCCAGTTGGTGAATCCACTCTGCCTGGAAGGGGGTTAAGAACAGTGTTTTCTGTACTGCTCTCTTGACCCGCTTTTTGGCGTCAGTAGGTCACGGCCAGCTTTCAGACGACTTTATAATGAGGATTTTAAGTTGACTTTATTAACTCCATCCTCCCGTGAGGGATGTGTGCGCAGTCGCGGTGACTGACAAGGGTGACTTCACACTGAGCCTGCAACATATGTGCCGATCAGTACTCGCGCGAATCATGCTTTAAAGTGGGCCATGGATCTCACATAGGTGAAAGTTGCTGTAGAGGTCACATTAGGAAAGAGCCTTTGCAGCCTGACCCTCAGTTCAGTGGAAGACCGAGTTACGGCGTTGATGGGCGACTTTTCGAGTTACGACATTTAGTGCACCGGACTGCCTGGGCTTTTAGCCAGCAACTATTCCATCAGTATGATGAATCATTCCACGTGTACTTGGCTGAGGACTCGACTAGTCGAAATACCGATGTGTCATTTGCGTATCAAGCACTGCTTGAACAAATCAATAGACAAGCTCAAGGTAATTCTCGGCAGAGGTGAGCTAAATATGAGATAAATTGTACTGCCTTTCATCCCTTGACGTTAGGCTTGCGTGAGAATTCGAAACGCCGGACAAATAAACAAATGCCCCCAGCTATCGCCTAGGTGCAGGCTAATGTCGTGCGAACCATCCGCGCCATCTCTCGCATCCGGTCTTTTTGACTCTGTCATGAAACCGGACCTAGGTGAGAAAGAGGAGGAGAGGACGCAGTAGTTGCAGTACAAGTCAACTATCATTAAACTAATTCATGCGTAAGCCACTGTCCCTGCACCCACCCTGCCGCAGGACACATTGTCGGAATCGACAACCAAACTGCCAGGTAAAAAAGACGAGGCATGCTGACCTGAACCCCAGTCTTGCAGTGACTAGTTCGCAGTCGTCCAACTGGGTCAGTGCGTGACAGGAATGTGCGGTGATAGGTGGGAACTGTGCCTGCATCGCTGGCATCCCCACACCCAGGCCGCATGTATGTAAACGAAGGGGTGACTGTCTCGGAACTTTTCAGGAGACGTTTATTTTCCTGAAAGGGTTATTGCTTTACAAATGCATACGAGACAGTCCGTTCTTCGCGGACGACGGGACCCATCATTACTTCAAGAGGTGAATCCGGTTGTAGTCCTCATCTCCACCATGCTTTGGTGGCAAAAGTAAGGTAGTGATAGACTAGCCAGAAAATATCACTGTAGTTTAAAAATTGACTTGGGGAATCCGCGGTATTTCGACAAATCACCATAACGTATGTTAAAGGACGCCTCTGCAACCCTGATCCGGCCATTTGAATCATAAAACCGGTCCTATGCTGTCGTGCTGCATAAGACGCGAAAATAGTATCTCTCAAAAAAACACAATCCCAGGCAACTATTTCGTTACCTGTACAAGCGTCGTGATGTGAGGCATAGGGAATCGAAACCGTGATCTAATTTTTGACTAGGGTGACGGGAAGTGTCTGGCTCGTTAGCAATATTATCTTTATAGTACTTTACTTGTTTTAATTTTTAGTACTTTACTCCCTACCTGACGGCCGACCTGAATATGATGGCCCGCGCCTTCTCCACCACCGTCGCGGAATTGGAAAATGAGCTGGCCAAACTTATTCAAGATGGGAGCATTAAGGCCCGTATCGATTCGCACAGACAAGTGAGTATTGCAACCTGATTGCATTTCATGTTCGTTCTCAAGCACCTTATTTTTCTGAATGTTGTCAATTCACCCTTTGCTATCCCATCACATACTTCTTTCAACTGTCTGCAAGAAGTACCACCCTTTAGCCTGTTTTTACAACTTTACAACTAATACTACTACTACTACTACTACTACTACTACTACTACTACTACTACTACTACTACTACTACTACTACTACTACTACTACTACTACTACTACTACTACTACTACTACTACTACTACTACTACTACTACTACTACTACTACTACTACTACTACTACTATTACCACTTCTACCACTACTGTTATTATTACTACTATTAATACTACTACTACTATTACTACTACTACTACTACTATTACTAGTACTACTACTACTACTATTACTAGTACTACTACTAGTACTACTACTACTACTATTACTACTATTACTACTACTACTACTTTTAGTACTACTACTACTATTACTACTATTACTACTACTACTACTACTACTACTACTACTACTACTACTACTAT